TCCCTGGGGTCTCTTCCCTTTCCTCTCACTTGGAGCCATGCGCTGTCCCCCTGCCCAGACATCCGTGTCCACACTGCTCACCACCCCACCAGTGGTGAGAGCTTACCTAGGATCTTCCCTTTGCAAGAAAGAAGAGAAGGGATAAATACTTACTTTTCCTTCTCAGGGACAGTAATAATGGTCATTTTCTTTTCCTTTTCTTCTTAAACGTCTCATTATGGAAATGTTCAAACACCTGCAAAGTAGAACAGAATGAGCCCCAATGCCGTCAACTCTGGGCTGTCTCCTTTGATCTGGTCCCCGCCCGCCCTCCTACGTCGCACGCTGATTCCTTTGAGGCAAACATCGGATGACATCTGGGCATTGGATTCTGAAACGTGAGTGTGAAGGAGACGGGGGGCGTGTGGCTGCTACGTCTGCTCAGAAATCGTAGCCTTCGGGGAACCGATCACTATTTTGAAATGTCAGGACATGTGGACAGGGAAGAACTTAGTCGAAGTTTTACTGTGACGAGGGCGTGTCTTCAGGAAGAGGCTTGTGCGGCATCATCCTCAGCTTCTCATGAGGTGGCATTGGTCACGCGGTTCTTGGTTATTCCATAAAATCTTAGCGTCTTGTGACGTGTTGGTTGTTTTTTCATGTGTATGACTAAGCCTAGCAAGCCAGGCCCCTGGGACGCCGATTTACAGGCTGTGTCCTCTCAGTGACAGCGCCCAGCTCCCGTTTCCTCCATCCTGCAGTAAGAGCTGTTAACATCACAGAGCTCACTGCATGCAGCGGCAGAGGGAGCGGCTCCCCTCCCGCCTCTCGGGCTCTCCTCGCCTGTTTTCTGCACCAGAGAGTGAGCTACGGGGCGGCCTGGCCTTGTCCTCTCATTCCCTCAGCCGCTGGCACAGTGCCTCGTAGGCAGTAGGTGCTTAACAGATGTTCAACTAAACTCCTTTCAAGCTACATAAAGTACCCGTATTTGTCTTCGTGAAACTGCAGGAGCGATTTGGCTCGTGCTGGTTGAGTGAGAAAAAGCAGCTCCCGGGCCCTCTGGTGATCAGCTTCAGCCTTGGGCGTGTCTGTGCCTCCCTCTCCCGCCTGCCCCCACACCTATGAGACCGTAGGTCATGCTTGGCCAGGCCTGGCAGGGAATTTCTGAATCTACTTTACATTCTTTTGAAAAAATGATCTGGTGTGGAGTTAGCTGTCGAGGGAAGCCAGGAGGTTTGTGTGCGATGCTGGAGTCGAGAGGGCTGGGCAGTCCCAGGGTGATGTGGGGCCCTGAGTCCCAGGCCCTGAGCCCATGGGCACGAGGGGCAGGTCAACTGGGAGCAGTTGTATTGCACCAGATCATGTGACTCCTAGATGCCAACGTGTCCTCGTGCCCTGTTTAATTCCTCCTCCATCAGAGCCTCCTGAGTAGCTGATACCACAGGCATGCTACCACCACACCTGGTTAATTTTTGTATTTTTGTTTTGTGGAGACGGGATCTTGCTATGTTACCCAGGCTGGCCTCAAACTCCTGGCCTCAAGTGATCCTCCCACCTTGGCCACCCAAAGTGTTGGGATTGCAGGTGAGAGCCACCACCCCAGGCCCTGATATTTTTTGATATTGACTAAATACTGAAAGGATAAAAAGCTCCTACTGAGTTGACCACGAGGCTGTCTCCTTCACTGTCCAGAGAGGAGTGCTGGGGCCTGCAATGCTCAGAGGCAGTGGATGAGAATGTGGACAGTCACTTTCCCTGTGCTTGACTTCTCACACAACCATCTCATACCTCAGAGCTGTGGGCTCGTGGTCTATGGAGGGGCCACGTGCTCAGGGTAGAGCTGTGGGCTCGTGGTCTATGAAGGGGCCACATCCTCAGGACAGAGCTGTGTGCACGTGGTCTATGGAGGGGCCACATCCTCAGGACAGAGCTCGTGGTCTATGGAGGGGCCACATCCTCAGGACAGAGCTGTGTGCACGTGGTCTATGGAGGGGCCACATCCTCAGGACAGAGATGGGTGTATGTGGTCTATGGAGGGGCCACATCCTCAGGACAGAGATGGGTGTATGTGGTCTATGGAGGGGCCACATCCTCAGGACAGAGATGGGTGTATGTGGTCTATGGAGGGGCCACATCCTCAGGACAGAGATGGGTGTATGTGGTCTATGGAGGGGCCACGTCCTCAGGACAGAGCTGTGTGCACGTGGTCTATGGAGGGGCTACATCCTCAGGACAGAGATGGGTGTATGTGGTCTATGGAGGGGCTACATCCTCAGGACAGAGATGGGTGTATGTGGTCTATGGAGGGGCCACGTCCTCAGGACAGAGCTGTGTGCACGTGGTCTATGGGGGCTACATCCTCAGGACAGAGATGGGTGTATGTGGTCTATGGAGGGGCTACATCCTCAGGACAGAGATGGGTGTATGTGGTCTATGGAGGGGCCACGTCCTCAGGACAGTGCTGTGTGCACGTGGTCTATGGAGGGACCACATCCTCAGGGCAGAGCTGTGTGCTTGTGGTCCTCTCCCTACCACTCTGTTCTCCAGCCTCCTGATTCCACACGGCATCCCCTTCCCATCACTCCATACCAAGCCCAAATGTTCCATCCATGAAGATTCATGAGGTCGTTTCCTTTGGAGCATGAGGCACATTCTCCTGTGGTCCTGACCTCTGAGCAGTGGGAACACCTTTCCATGTGGAGGTTCTCAGCGACCTCGGTTTTGGGTTTCATCAAGCAATGTGTAACCGCACAGGCCAGCGGATGGAGGCTGCTCTGGGGTCCTCTGTGTTTGTGCTGTTGATTGTCCTTGGTCTCCTCCCAGCTTCGTCTCTGTTGATTAAAGGCTTTCTTTTGGGAAAGCTGGCCCTCTAAGGGCAGTGGCTTCCTGAAACCCTCCAGGGAGAGTGCATTTCTGTCATCGAGTTTAACTCAACTAACGGAACCGGATTTAATAGATTCAAAGCGGATGAAGGTGTGTCAGTCACAGAGCTGTGTGTCAATCACAGAGCATAAGGACCACTGCTGTGGCCACTTTGTCCTTTAACCCCGTGCACACCTATCAGATTTTGAGAATCAGAGTGGATGGCAGTTACTTTCTGTGGGAACATGCACTTAGCTGAAACCCCTTACTAAGATGATCTGTCATCAACTTCAGGTTTCATGCTTTAAAAATATTCTCAACAAGAGAGAAAAATAACATAGGAGACTTGGCTGTCTGGGGTGAGGGCAGGCTTGAGGAAAGACTGGGCAGATGTGTGGAGCCGTTATGTTTGGAGGGGTTACCAAGAAGCAGACCCCTCATTGCCAAGAATGAGGGCCTTTTCAGGCAGGAGGGGCTCCTCTGTGAGTGACAGCGAGGACCAACCCCAGGAGCCACTTCTGGGGCCCACGAAGAGATGAGGCTGGAGACCTTTCTGTCCCTGGGCCATGAAACCATCCCTCCTGACATTCTGATTCTCCATGCTCAGTGGCTCTGGCCAGGGACCACTGACCCACCTTGCAACTCTGACACCTTTGAGGTTCGTCTTGAACCCTCTTTACACCTGCAGTTCTTTTTCATTCTCTGCCCATAACCCTGACCCCTTGGTTTACCGTCTATGGGGTAATTTATCATAAGGCCCAAGAAATGAGATGCTCTTTAGGGGGCTGACATCCCACCCGGAGGAACAGCCTGCACCTGCGGATGAGGGGGACGCATCAGAATCTCCTGGGGTATTTTCAGAGCCCCCCCCACCTCCACCTCTGCCTCCACCTGAGGCCCCCCACATCCTCCCTTGAGTGGAGAATCACTGTGGTTAACGTGAAACACATAGACAAAAAAAAAAAAAAAAAAAAAAAAAAAAAAAAAAAAAAAAATGCAGGCACCCACAGCTTGGCCTGAGGGCAGTAGGGTGGGACTGGAGACACGGGGTGGGTGAGAGCAATACCTCCAAACAAGACGTCTTATCCCAGCCCCTCCGGCTGCAGCGTTGGAGCCCTGTGCTCAGCATGGCTGTAATTTTAGTCTATTTCCTGGGTGACAGTGAGAAATTAAAGTCTCTTCAGCCAGCACAGGGATGTCCCTTTCTGGGCCTGCCGTGCCCACAGTTAAGTCCCTGGAAAGCAGCAAAATGTGTCACGGAGAAAACACTCTACTGGATTCTGGGGCGCTCAGTCCACACAGACTGACGTGGAGCTGCGGTGCGAACCCCTGAGATGTTTAGGAATCCCTTCCACCGCAGTTCCCACCTGGCTTAGTATTCTACAGGAAATTACCAGCCACACCCATGCTCCGTGTGTTATGGCAAATCTGGGAGAGGACTCAGAACATCTCAGATTTCATAACCCTTCAACCCCTCAAGCCTCCATTGGCAGCCCTGGGAAGTAGGAGGCTAAGGCTGCGTTCACACACTGGTGAGAAAACCAAGGCGCAAAGTCATGCAGGCAGTGATTAGTTCATTTTATGCAGTTAATGAGAAGCGGGCTTAAGGCTTGAAGGGAGCTCTTTTCACTTCCGGCCCTGTGCTATTAGAACAAGTTCATTTACAGTAAATCTGTAAGGCTAATGTCGGGCTAGTAACTGCTGCTCAGGCAGAGGCCACTAATTGATGTAACTGTTATAAAAAGGAAAAGGTTTTGTTTGTTTGTTTTGAGATGGAGTCTCACTCTGTCACCAGGCTGGAGTGCAGAGGCCGGATCTCGGCTCACTGCAACCTCCGCCTCCTGGGTTCAAACGATTCCCCTGCCTCAGCCTCGAGTAGCTGGGATTACAGGTGCATGCCACCGCGCCGGGCTAATTTTTTGTATTTTAGTATAGATTGGTTTCACCATGTTGGTCAGGCTGGTCTCGATCTCCTGACCTCGTGATCTGCCTGCCTCTACCTCCCAAAGTGCTGGGACTCCAGGCATGAGCCACCATGCCCAGCCAGGAAAAGGTTTTAGAGCCAATTGTGTCCCTTCTTTGGGGTGGGTGGACACGTTATATAGTCTTGAGACCCCCAGAACTTTGCTTGATGAAAAACGCCCAACAACCCAGGAAAGAACAATTTTACTTAATATTTTTATTCACTTAACAGAAACATTCACTTATCAGATATCACTGAAGTGCAATTTACAGAACTTAAAGGCAAATTAACATATGTAAATTCATATTTTAAGGTTTTGGATTTTTTTTTACAAATATTACAAATGTACATCCATTGATACAATATTGCCATTCAATCATGCTTTTATTATGTACATACCTTCAATTAGAATTACTATGTATTAAGTTCATTTTGCTTACAAAATGCTGAAAACTAACGGGGTGCGCTGGGAGAGATTTTTTTTACCGATGCATAAACTGCAGAGAGATAGAAATCTCGGGCCTGTGTGAAAAGAGGCCCTGGGACCCAGGTGATCTTGCCTTGGTGTTTAGGGGTTGCTCATCCCTCCAGCCTCGGCTTTAGGATGATGAGTTGGGAAATAAAGTGTTCCTCTCACCAGGGTTCGATCTGCCTACGGTTCCCGCAGGGGCGATATTGTTTCGTGCGCATCTCTAGAGGTCGGCACGGTGGCTCATGCCTGTAATCCCAGCACTCTGGGAGGCCAAGGTGGGCAGATCGCTTGAGGCCAGGAGTTTGAGACCAGCCTGGGCAACATGGCGAGACCCCATCTCTACCAAAAATACAAAATTAGCCAGTCTCATAAGCCGGTCTCAAAAAAGTAAACAGATGTCTAGAGATGTGCCCACTAGTGTTCCTTCTGGTGGGAGGTCAGATCACGTGGACACATTTAGGAGAGTCCAAAAATGGCTACAGTGACTCCCTGTGCACAAGGCGTCAGGAACCCAGCAGGGCTTCCCTAGCCTTGAGCATGAACCTGCTGCCTAGGAACCCAGCGAGGCTCCCCCAGCCCCAGCATGAACCTGCCACATAGGAACCCAACGGGGCTCCCCCAGCCCCAGCATGAACCTGCCACATAGGAACCCAACGGGGCTCCTCCAGCCCCAGCATGAACCTGCTGCGTGGATCCCTCGGTGGGGATGGTGCCTAAGACGACCTCCTCCTGGGTGGGGGCCATGGCAGCAGAACAAAGGAGCCAGGAGCTTTGGGACAGGGACTAACAAGACAGCAAGAAAGGGAAGAGGCAGGGAGGAGAGAAAGGGGCAAGAAGGGAAGTGAAGTGGCTGAGGGGAGAGTGAGTGGAAGGTGGTGCCAGCCGCCTCTCAGGCTTCCCTGAAACGGCCTGAGAACGAAGCTCCCTCTGTCTTCACCACATCTCTGGTCCCCTGTGGCCTCTGCTCCTGCTTCCTCACTTCCCCACCATCCTTCCTTCACTTTCTCAGATTCAAAATTTGGGAGAAGTTTGACAGGAGCCACCAGCAGCCCAGCGTTGCCAGAAGCAGCCCTGCTCATGCAGTGGTGAGGCCCGTGCCGTGTCCTGCAGCCGCCTGCCTAGCCCCACACGGTGGCAAAACACCAAAAGACCCTAAAATACCAGCGAGATGGGATTGGTCTGTCCCTGCTAAGAGCTGCCTGGGGGTGCTACGGCCTCGCCTGCAACACAGAGCTTCTAAATTTCCACCTCCAACCGCGAGCTCTGCAAAAACCGCAGGCGAGGACAGGCTTTGGGGGGGTGTGGGACGGCGGCCTCCTGATGTGGACGAGGGGCCTCTGCAGCCTCCCTGAGGGCCGCGGGAAGCCCACAGAGCCTCGCCGGGTTCTGTCGGGCGTTACAAGAGGCGGCCTCAGCGATCCAACAGCAGTACGTAAAAAGAAAGGCTCTCAGCTTCCCTTTGGTCTCTATTAGAAATTGATACTTACTGTATTTTGGGCCAAGTAGTCAGATTATTTTATTAGAATGGCTTCTTATAAAAGGGCATATAAGTTTCCCTAAATTAAAAATGTCTACTTTATGTCCGTCTCAAATGTCTTTGTTTTAAACAATATACTATAGACACATCTTGAAATTTATCATCTAAAAATAGGATTTCATCAAAATACTCTAACTATTCTGGGCATTGATATCCTCTGTATTTACTGTTTATGGCTCTCCAGATGTGGTAAACACTATATCAAAAAAAGCATGTGACTTTGTTGATAAGAAAAGCTCCCTGTGAAAACAAAATGAGGTGGAGAAATATGAGCTGTGTGTTTCTTTGAAAAGTGGAGAAATAGGAGCTGTGTGTTTCTTTGAAAAGTGGAGAAACAGGAGCTGTGTGTTTCTTTGACAAGGAACCCAGCTTGACATTTCTGAGGAACAGGACTCATCACAAAGTCAGCATGGTGTGATAGATATATACAGATGTAAAGAGAATCGCAGGAATGGAAAGGAAACAATAGCTATCGACCCGCACATCCTTTCCTCGGCAAAAACAAAACCAACGGAAACCCTAACTCCATCCATCCCTTGACATCACACACGGCTGCGAAACCGAGACTGGAGGTGGACGGCAGAGCCTGCCTGGTGTGCAGCTGTTCCCTGCCGCTCAGTCCTGCAAAATTCCGGAAACCACCAGATACTGACTTTTTGACTAAGAACCAGGCAGGAAACCACATTGCTGATCTTCCCGATGGGAAAGCAGTATGTGTTTTGGAGGCAGATAAAGGTGGCGTTGGTTTTATGAGGACTTTTGTAGGGGGCCTAAGCAGGCATGAATATAGACCACAGAAAATCTGAAGCAAGGGGCTCGGTGGTGTCAGGTGGTGGGAAGTGTGGGGGAGCCGGGCCGTGATTTTGAAGTGGACTCGGAGGGGCCGACCTGACTTCATCAGCCCCCATTGTGTTGTGCCCAGTGTATTTTCAGGGTGACAGAAAGTGACCCGTCCCCTACTTGTGTCTTGCCCCCTCACTTGGAGGGGGGTGCGTGGCCACTCTTAAGACCAATTCAGCGGTCAAAACTGCAGGGCAGACCTGGCCTAAGAGTGGTGCTGGGATGTTCTGACCTGGACCCAAGGGCAAAATCCTCAGGCGTCAACACCAGCCTTTCTATCTCTGCAGAGGTGGCACAGCCCCTCCAGGCCCATCTGGGGCTGTAGGAATTCTGGGACCTGGGTCTTCCAGGCACACCTGGGGCTGTAGGAATCCTGGGACCCAGCTTTTCCAGAAACTCTTGGGGCTGTGGGAATCCTGGGACCTGGCCCCTCCAAGCATAGCTGCGGCTGTGGGAATCCTGGGACCAGGGTCTTCCAGGCACTCCTGGGGCTGTGGAATCCTCAGGCCCTGCCAGTTGGGAGCAACCTGTGTGTGGTGTGATCTGGTGTGGCATGCTTCCCGCATGTGGGGTCACCCCTGACTGCCTCGACTTCCTTCTCCTTTCACTACCCAGGGCCTGGGACCCTCCTCTCCTTACAAGGGGTCCCCACTGCAGCCCACATCTCCTCTGACAGATCCCTACATGGAAAAGCTCCAGCACCTCAAACTCACTTCTGGCTGCTTTGGAAACTCTTCTCTTGCTATCAGCCTTCTCTGAAGAGCTTTAATCTCTCCTTCCATGGAGTCTCCTGTGGACTTAATAAACGAATCCACACACTGTACTAGTGGGTAGCGTGGAATTAATGTGTGGCTTTCTCCAATGTAGATGTCGATATTTCAGTAAAGTCTGAGTTGTTTCTAGAAGGTCAGTGCCTGAAACAACACGAATCCCAACCCCACAGGTGCGGCTTCATGGTGCTGGTCACTGGGTGGCTGAGCGCTTTCCGAGTCCCGTGAATCAGACCCTGCAGAAACAGTGTGATTTGGAGCCCATTGGGGGAAAGCATCATACGCTTCTCTAGCCAACATCTCAGATGAAGGTGATTTGAGGCCTGAGTCAGAGACTTTAGCCAAGAGCTGGCCGTGCTCCCACACGTTCAGGGGAGTGCTCGCTTCTGACGGCTGCGAACGTCTGAGTCTCCCATTGCCTCTTGACTCAGTTCTCTAAGCTTCATCTTAGTGATGTCAAGTTACCAGAACTTAATAGAAACTGGTCGTTTGAGCTTAGCTTTTGCACTGAATTAAGATTTCATTTATTTTTGCGATTTTTATAAAAGATTAGTATGAGTCCTTTATTTGAAAAAATGTTCTCATATCTTTTGAAACTTTATCTTGAAGTTGCCTACTCCAGTGCCTGTTTTCTTTTCTAAAAAACTGGACTGATAAATTTGGCCTTATTTTAAATCCCAGGAAAAGTTTCTATTTCCATACTAATATCCCTACTTCTTATTATCTTGTAACAAATAGCTACAACTCAGTTTCATTTCTGCCTTCTCATTATGATAACTGTAATTTATAGCACTCGACTATGTAAGCACGATGTTATTCTTGCACTTTCTGGGGTGGTCAGCTGGGATTATTTCCAGGAAGCCCACACTCCAGAGGTGGACACCAGCATCCGGAGATGGACACCAGCATCCGGAGATGGACACCAGCATCCGGAGATGGACACCACCATGCTTTGCCATCTGCCATCACCATCATGAATTTCAGAGATGGATTTTTTAAATTGGAGAAATGAGAGACTGGCTACCTAGCATGATGAATGTTAGAAATAAGTTGTCGGTGATGAGATGGACAGCAACTCGAGGCACATGGATTACGTAAAGATACTTGGAAAAGAGCCTGACCCCTGTATGAATACAGCGCCTCGGTTCTCAGGGATGACGCTGTGGGCGAAAGCCCCTGTGTCCCATCTCCACTGTGAGCTGAAGGTCCCTCATGTTGGAAGCCTTCTCTGAGGGTCACAGAATCCTGCCTGTTACATTTTTTGACAGCTGAACTTTTTTTGGGTCTTGTCCTGCAAGCTGTTGATTGGAGAATCTGAAAGAGCGGAGAGCTGGTAGCCTCTCAAGCTGAAGGTAAAGGTTGTTTTGAATTTTATTTTATGCTTGCTTTCTAATGAAAATTTAGTTAAAAAGTCAGACTTTGATTAAAGACTTCATCTCCTTATTACCTGGTAGGGAGGTTATAGGGTGGTAGCTAACCCTTACACAACGCAGACCTCAGTGACTCTTCAGTATCGGCCACAATAAACCAAACATGGTGATGGACTGAACAGGCGTGGGTGGCTTTGCAGCGTGCGCGGGCTGGGTGTTTCCAGGCTCCCCACCTCTGCAGCGCACCTGGGCTGGGTGTTTCCAGGCTCCCCACCTTTGCAGCGTGCGTGGGCTGGGTGTTTCCAGGCTCCCCACCTCTACAGCATGAGTGGGCCAGGTGTTTCCAGGCTCCCCACCTCTGCAGCACGCCTGGGCTGGGTGTTTCCAGGCTCCCCACCTCTACAGCGCGAGTGGGCCAGGTGTTTCCAGGCTCCCCACCTCTACAGCGCGAGTGGGCCAGGTGTTTCCAGGCTCCCCACATCACAGGTCTTAACTCTGCCTCACGGGGGCTTTGGGACCTCTTCCTTCACTTTGCGGGAATGGCTTTTGTTTCTCTGGTTCTATTTTAGGTGTTCGGTAATGTCGTGCATCTTAAATATTTTTTGAAAGGAGGTGGAGTATAAAAACCGAAATGAATAATGAAAATAATAGAGGATTCTTATTGGTTTCTCTGGGGCTGGGGTGGGCATGGCTTTTCTCTTCGCTTGTGGCTTATCTTCATGTGCCCCCTAAAGCTGTGCTTGTTAGACCCCAACGTCGCCGAGAGGCGCACGCAGGGGTGGGGTGCAGGGACAGGGCCTGAGGCTCACTCCTGCCTGGCGATGCGTCGGTGCCGCCTTCCAAGGCCGCAGCTAAGCCCCCTTGCCTGAATGGAGCCCTTCCCTCGGACGCCACAGGAAGAGTTGGTGCTAACTCAACAGCACGTGTGACCCTGGGTGTGGGGGACATGGTTCTGGGGCCAGCGATCTGGGAAGAGGCATGTTCTGAATTCCAGTCTGGTTGCTTGTCCAAACATTGCACAGTTGCGTGTTTCTGGAACACCAAAGGAAAACAAATGCAGGGAACCGGCCAACCCGCTGCGTCGCCCCCCAGACACGGCCCAGTCCCTCCAACGTCCCGCTCAGCTCCAGCAGCCAGGAGCCCGCAGCCTAGAGAGTCAGTAGAAACTGCTGCTGCTCTGGCGGTTTCCTCACCCAGGTGCCCAGGCCAGCCTTCTGAAAGGCCTTGAACAGCTGCTGTTTCACAGACTGGTAGGTGTGCGCCCCCAGCTTGGCCTCACAGTACATGGAGGGTGTGTCTCCGGGGCTGGGTGTCCGTGTGCTCAGCTGCAGACCAGAAGGAGAAAGAGCCAATCAGACACCAGCAGAAAAGGAGCTTCCGCCAAGTGAGTTTTACACGCCAGGCATCAGCTCCCGGCCTTGGCCTTTTGCCTTTCTTTCTCCCACTATTACAGAGAGCAACCGTGACCAGGTCCTCCCGCTATTCCACAGGAAACCCAGTCATCGAGGAAACCCGCTTCATTCGACGTCTGAACGATCAGTGAGTGGGTAAACTTGACTGCTATTAAAAATATGAACACTGTGCAGGGGCTCCAGGCGGGGTGGGGGACGGAGGGGGACAGTGGGAGCTAAAATAGCATCACAGTGGGCAGGGAGCAGGCCGGTGAGAGTCATGCTGTTGGCCGAGCAGGAGGATGATGGAGCTGGGGCGATTCCTCTGTTAGCTTTCTGAGGTGTGCCAGGCAAAGCTTAGCAGCAATACAAGACAGGGATCAAATGCAGCTCTGATCCCCCCACCACAGGGCAGGGAGGCCAGGAGGGAGGAGGACGGGGCTGTGGGGGAGCTCCGAATCCCACAGCAGGTCTTCCAGGGAGGCACTTATGGGGGGGGGGTCACCTCGAGCACGTGCAAGAGGAGAGGGCCCTTTTGCTTAGCAGGACGGCATAGATGCTTCCCTGACCTTCCCAGTCTCCAGGAGAAGGGAGACCCGGGCAGTGCCATTGAGCGGACAGGACAGAGACTGAGAGCTGCAGGATATTGGGCGCCTTGGCCAAGCTCAGAACTAATATGTGCAATTCTGAGTGTCCTCTAAGCTGGCGAAAACGTTTATTTTAGGTGTCAGTATGCCTACCCTGCTCTACCAGTTGACAAATCAACAACACTATTATTCCGGCTTGGAGTCATTGCTTGGATTAAAAAGTACGGAAAAATGAGCGAGGCATTTTTTATGTGTTGGCTGGTTTTTCTGTTATTGGTTGTTTTTGGTCACAGTCTATGCTGCAAACGCATACCAATGTGGATTTTGATTTAAAATCCAGAACTGTTGCCGATATCCCTGCCTGTGAAGGAGAAAGCTTGCTCCTAATCGCTGATGTTGTGGAAATGCTTGGGCTTTGGGGTTGGGGAGGAATTCTAATCCTGAGATTCATGTCCTGTGAAATTTTGGGGAAATTACACATTTTTTCTGAGTGTCGGTTTCCTGATATCTAAACCGGGAATAGTGTCGACTTCAAAAGTCCCCAGGAGCTGCTCCTGTGACACCCGGAATGAAGCAGGCGGTGCCGTGCCCGGTGACGTCAGGGGTTCAGCAATGAGCTCGTTTCCTGCTTCCGCAGCTCCAGGCTGGTCAGGGGGCGGTGCCTGGGGCAGTCTGGGGGCGGTGCCTGGGGCAGTCTGGGGGCTGTGCCTGCGGCAGCGGGGTCTCTAGCCTACGGGGGAAACGCTGCTGGCCTGGGCAGTGGGAAAAGGACACGTGAGGGGCGCTGGGTTTTGTGTCCTGCCTCTCCCTCCCTGCAGACCAAGTGGTGGCCTCTCCCGGGGGCTTGCTCAGGGCTGGAGCCAGGGTCTGGCTGGGCCCCGTTTCCCTCCAAGGATGGGTGCGACCTACCCTGCCGTACAGCCGCGCCCACCGCGCAGACAGCACGTGCTTGCAGAGCCGGGAGGGGCCCCCGCAGCTCCTCCGCCCCGTGGTGGTGTTGATAATCTCCAGGTCCACGCTGCCCACGACCCAGTTCACGCTGAAGGGGGGCGACTTCCCCGGCTGGCGCGCCTCGGCGTCACTCACGCCTGTCAGGGGAGATGGGGAAAGGCGGCGTTAACATTCCTGGCCTCACACGGGGCTCCCGCCAGGGCAGCTGCCGGGAAACGGAGCCTGTGTGCGAGCGGGAGGAGATATTCCCACGCACACCC